ATCAAAAATTTGCTCAGTAGGGGGCTCCATTTCTGAAAAATCCGAGAGGCAGAGATTTGAGGAGCTAAGAAAAGAGGGAGGCGAGGGCTGGGGATTTATACTATACTATGGTATGACATTTAGAATGATGTTGCTGTGGTAATTCCAATACAATCACATGACGTTTTCAATTACCTAATCATGGATATTACATAATTAGGAGTGTCCGGAACAAAAGTGGGAGTGTCCCTATCAATTCCCGTTAGCTTGTCAAATATTATGTCATCCTCTCACCAAAACACAACTCAATTATACCACGTAATTTGGCTTGGATAGTATGCTGTGGTATAAGCGAGAGTTGACTGTATATCCGTGTCAGAGATACAGATACTAGTCAAATGTTCCTTCCCACTCCGCCCCACTATATTGGCCCAACAACCAACCCAAGTTTTTTTTTTCACTCCTACACCTCCCCTATTGCTCCGATTGTAATGAAATTAGGACCAAAAAGTAGCAAAACGGCGCAGCTATCTACGTCCCAAAGGTCAGCTATTATCTATGCTCACGAGAATGGCGCTACGCAAGTGCAATTAGCTAATGACTTTGGCTGCTCTCGGCGTACAATCTACAATACGCTAAAACGCTATTCAGAAGGCGAAAAGCTAGAGAATCGCGAAAAAAGCGGCCGTCCCGCTATTATTAGTGAGCGCGCTTGCTCTCATCTCTATTTACAGGCACGTCGGCATCCGTTTTGGACCTATAAACAGCTAAGTGCTGCTACAGCTCAGCATCCGTCACCCTCCACTATACGTCGAATTTTGAAGCGATTCGGACTCGGAAAACGGCGATCGAAACAGAAAATACCAATTAAGCCTCCTCTTGCAAGGAAGAGGCTAAAATTTGCGCGAAAATGGCGACGCGAAAGCTTCCAATCGTGGATCTTCTCGGACGAGTGTTCGGTGCAACGAACCTCGAACTTTGGACCACAATGGTGCTTTCGTACAACCTCGGAGGGCCTTCGTAAGGACCTTGTGAATGCTAAGGCTCACGTTAAAGATATTTCACAAATGGTTTGGGCCGGAATCTGGCTAGGAGGTCGAACAGAATTAATAATTATGGAACGGGACAAAGAATCGCGGTCGGGGAGGGGTTATACTGCGAAGTCGTATATTTCGACGCTCGAAAAAGGTCTGATGCCAATCTACACCCCTAATTTAGTATTTCAGCAAGATAACGCGAGGATTCATCTAGCGAAGGACACGCAAGAGTGGTTTGAAACTCACGGAGTATACGTCGAAGACTGGCCCGCGCACTCACCCGATTTGAACCCAATTGAACCGGTATGGCGCTGGTTAAAAGTGAAGCTTTTTGCATTATTTCCGGAGCTTATTGGCATGGGAAGGTCGGAGGCAGACTGGCATTATTTTAAAAAATGCCTAGTGGAAGCTTGGAAGGCATTAGATCAGGCAAAGATAGATACGCTAATATTGAGCATGGGAAGACGTTTGAAGGCAGTGCGGAAGGCTAAGGGGTATTACACAAAATATTAAGCGAATTTTTGAAAGTGCTATTATTAAGCAACCCTGAAATTTAATTATATTATTATAGACCATAAAATGGTGGTGCTATATACTGTGTAACTGATATATATATTTTGAGAGGGGACCCGAAAAAGTGGAGTGGGAAGGAACATTTGGTAGGGGATGTATATCTCTGTAACGCCATGTACCGGAGATAACCCACTGTCTGCAACAAAATTGGGATGCAGAGGTCTCCCTGGGACCACAGTTTACAAACAGCTTCAGAATAAGAACTTAACTCTATGCCGCTCATTGGCAATCCACACCATCTCCTTTCCACTTAAGATCAGACCTCTGATCTTTTTTAAACCCCTACATAAGCATTGGACTCAATCCGTTTCCGTCCAACTTTCAATATTTTCTGTTAATATTTTCTCCCTCTCCCTTACACCATGACGAACGAAAAGGCGCTCACCCCGCTCATCATTAATAATGAGTCTGTTGAGACCGATATCAAGTTCGAGGTCCACGCCCCTGCGACGGGCAAGCTGAACGGCTACTGTGCTGGGGTCTCCGTCGAGGAGGCCAAGCGCGCAGTCGACAACGCCCAGGCTGCCTTCCCCGCATGGAAGAAGACCAAGTACAATGAGCGCCGCGAGATCCTGCTCAAGGCGGCTAGTATCATGGAGTCGCGCAAACAGGAATTCATCCAGTACCAGTGCGAAGAGACCGGTGCCGCTCGCCCCTTCACTGAGTTCACCTTCGGTCTAGGTGTGGAATTCATCCGGGACTTTGCTGGCCGAATCTCCTCCGTCCAGGGTATTGTGCCTAATATCAACCGCGATGGTGAGGGTGCTATCGTGTACAAGGAGCCATACGGTGTGATCCTGTCAATTGCGCCTTGGTGAGTGTCCAAGTTGATATAGTACTCAGATGACCCTCGGAACAGCTGACTCAGAAGCTTTTTGGTTGCACAGGAATGCACCTTTCATCCTTGGTGTCCGTGCCGTTGCGCAGCCTCTCGGCGCTGGTAACACGGTTGTTCTCAAAGGTTCCGAGCTCTCGCCCAAGTGCTTCTGGGCTATTGGCGACGTCTTCCGGCAAGCTGGTCTTCCCGCTGGATGTCTGAATGTCATCTTCCATCGGGCCTCTGACGCCGCCGCTGTCACCAACGCGTTGATCGGACACCCTGCCGTCCGCAAGGTCAACTTCACCGGTAGCACTAACGTCGGCTCGATCATTGCTTCCACTGCTGGTAAGTACATCAAGCCTGTGCTGCTCGAACTGGGCGGTAAGGCGTCTGCTATTGTCTTGGACGACGCGGACCTGGACAAGGCCGCCATGAACTGCGCCATTGGCTCCTTCATGCATGTATGTACCGTAGCACCCATGACATCAGTGGCCATGGACAAAGTAACTAACCTATACAGTCCGGACAAATCTGCATGTCGACTGAGCGCATTGTCGTGCTGCGCTCGATCGCCGACGAATTCCGCCAGAAGCTTGCTGCGACAGCTGACAAGCTGTTCGGCAAGGACGTGCCCGCCCTGGTGCTGGTCAACTCCGCCGCTGTGGTCAAGAACAAGAAGCTCGTAGGCGACGCCGTGTCCCGCGGTGCGACCCTGCTGTTCGGTGAAGTCAACGCCAACGAGTCAGTCCACACGGCCATGCGCCCGATCATTGTCAACAATGTGACCAAGGAGATGGATATCTACGCGGCCGAGTCGTTCGGACCGACCGTGTCGCTCATGGTGGTGGACACAGAAAAGGACGCTATCGCGCTTGCTAATGACACAGAATACGGCCTCACCGCAGCGGTATACACCCAGAACCTGTTCCGCGGATTACGGGTGGCGAAGGAGATTGACTCGGGGTGAGTGAATTCATCACATCATACCGTATTTCGGAGCCGCTTGAATAAGTGCTAACTATGTTTTCTTAGTGCCGTCCACATCAACTCAGTGACTGTGCACGACGAGTCTGTCCTGCCCCACGGTGGATGGAAGAGCAGCGGCTTCGGTCGCTTCGGAGGAGCCGTAGGCTACGAAGAGTTCCTGCAAAGCAAGTCTGTGACTTGGCACGAATAGGTCCAGACCATGGAAATGCCCGGATTTGGCCCCCAGAAAGAATTGGGGGGCCGGGAGGGGGAGGGGGGTGTGGTCTTCCAAGGACTTCTCACACTTGGGGGGTTGAGCTGAGCCGCATACACCGATAGCGGAGCCTCGTCTCGCCTGGCCCCCTGTAGCTAGAGAAGCAGGCGGCATACCCGGGAGTTGCTGTGAAAATCTCGACGAATTTAGTGGCCCCGTCCTGTGTTATGTGCCGCGTCTCGTACTCCCAGAGTGGGTCCGTATCGCATTCGCTATTTGTGATTCGTATCCTCGGCACCTCTTCCTTAGTGCCCAGTGTATGTTTCCACAGAGGAGTAAAGTTATATCTATAATTAAAGGGAAAGAAGTCTAGTAAATAAAGAAAAATGAGGCGAAAAATCCGAATACCTCTCGAATTAATATACGTGTTCACCAGGCCCACAATTTCAGGAATCCACTGCAATCCCTATTCCCCAGATCGACACTTAACATCACTGAGACCATCGGCGATAGTACCTTGAATACAATCACCCGAGGAGTGAAGACCAGCTGAGCCCGAGCCATGCCCAATAAAGTCTGTAGTGATTTTGGTTGTGTGACCCGAGGTGGTCCACTCACTTTCATCACGCCCAGAATAGCCATTTGAAACCAGAGCACAGTAATATTCGTGACCAAGGCCAGCCAGACAGTAGAGCACTGATAACTGCTTGTATACTAAATCCCCCTGGGCGTGTACGAGTGTAGAAGATACTTACAATGCAAACCTTGACATCAAGCGTGCTTTATTTTAATACCTTGGTTACAGGCAACTCTGCCTCAAATGATCCACAAATGCCCAAGACCGGCACACTTGATTAAGGTGTGGCAAGAATTTTGCTTTGTTCTATCCACTTCGATTAACTCCCTGTAGCCAATAGGGTGGCAGGTTCCCTGATGAGTCTATTACGCCTCACAAATAATCTCACTATGTTACCCCCTTCAACTAAGCCCCCGGCCATGGCCCATGGGAAACAATATAGGGAAGGCAGATGTGAAATAACGAGGTTCCTGCCACTGGGTGAGGAGCGCTGCTTGCCCTCGAACGCCATATTCAATTTGAATGAAAGCTTCTATTTGGTACAATACCAAATTCCTACCTAGAATCTTGTGGTCAGCCCAATTTCTCATGGCTCAATTAAGATAGTGGATTGGACCTATCTAGACAGCCGACGAGTGACAATTCACCACATATACGCTATATGACGTTCCGTTAAACGCAGATAAAAGTGGAGAAGCGGCCAATGTTGGAATCAGACGATGCAAGCGATTGAAGCAAGGAAGACGGGCGGATGAGCAATGTACTCATCATGTAGCGCTACTCGAACAACCTTTCCCTTGCGCTCAACATCGCACTTCTATCCAAATAGCGCAACATTTCAGTTCTACCCGATCGACTGCCGGTTCACCACCCTCCCTATCGCCACTGCTACTTCGGTCCGACGGGCTCGCAGCTGGGTACCGATCTGAAATGGGCTGTGTCAAACAGGGGGAGTGTTGTGCGGTTTCCCTTGTACAACGCTACAAGGCAAATTGAGGTCTTATTTCCCGGTAAACCCCATCTTGTCCAAGAGCCGGTCTTTATCCCGTGGAAGGAACTCGACCACGGGGGAGATGGGGGGATATATTTTAATGCTGTTTAATAATTATGAGATGATATCCAGCAAACTCCATCTGCGGGACAGGCAAAACTTCGCTCACCTGCAGGCCAGAATCCACATGGAAGCTGGGTGGATGGAGAGATGCTGAACCACAGACAGAGTAATACCAGTAAACTGCATTGTAGGTGTAGTCGTTTTGAAGGATCGAAACAATGCTATTCCAGAGCCATCCTTACCCGCTCACGCTTGAGGACTGTAGGCGCGGTCAATAAGGACGTAGGCTGACAACGTCAATAAGTCGATCCGTGTGTGATGTTGGTAAACAATTCCTCCAACATGAATTCCCCACATTCAATGCCAAACGACGCAAAGTTGAAATCTGGGTTCGCACTGCCCACGGCTGCCGGTTCAAGCTGGGTGGGGTCTGTACCAGTCGGATCCTCTGCTGCGCGATCTGATTAGCGTAATCGAGTCCACGTGGTGCCCAGAATGCCTTACGTTGTAAACGTAGGACAGATATCAACTGTTCGAGGTAGTACCTGCAGCGGTCCACCATCCGATTGCCCGTATCTAATTGATGCAAGGTTGCGACGGCGCGATCAGGATATATCAGGATGTCCAGCGTCTGGAGCACTGGGGAATCTCGGGCCGACTGCCTCGTGCGCTGCACCCAAGTCACACCGATAATTACCAGCGCAGCGTTGAAGGCTGTCCCGTCAAACAACAGAGGATCAGACACCTGTAAACTACAACGGAAGTGGAGGAGGGCAAACTTACTGTAGTACAGGGAGTACCACCACGCCCCAAGGAGATCTTGCTGCCACCCAGTCCCAGAAACAAGTTCGTGGACCATGTCAATAATACCCATAGCTGATTCGACGCACTTTTTCATGCTACTGTAGCCGATGTCATTCAGAATCCGCTCTTCGCTGAGCTCCAGACAAGACGCGTGGCTGGCGTCGAGAAACTTCGCCAGGATAGGCCGATGCAACAGGATCTGGATGTGGAGATATCGCAGGGTCAGGATAACCCGAAACTTCAGGGGAAACAGCCGGCCGAGGGCCTGCGACTGCTCAATTCCCTTGCGAAGGCCCTGCAGCGATAATTGACGAAAGCTGTCCGGAAGCGCCATGTTCCACGAGAACAGCTGGTTCTCGATCGCCAGCACCCGGCCCACCGTCTCACTAACAGACAGGCCAGGCCCACAGGCCAAATTTTGACCATAGATCTGGTCAATGATATTACCCATCTGCTTGTACAGGGTTCTGTACACGGTCAGTGCGCGGCCAATTTAACGGGGGAGATGCGGGGTCCACTGACATGGTGCAATTATAGAACTGGATGCTGTGATGTATGGTCTCATTGTCGACGAAAGGTTGGACCTCGGTGGTACTATCTAAGATCGGGAGGTCTAGCTGAACATAACTGTCGGGAATCGCCGGCGGTCGTCCGAAGGTCATGCTCAAAGTTCTACGGAGCGATTAGTTGGAGCCACACTCGCGAAGTACGAAGGGGTGAGTACCGATCCAATACCACACAGCCGAACCATGTTCTCTTTCGTATCTCGCGCTCAAGAGGGGAGAAGGCCTGGGACGCGTCCTTCGAATGGAGCCCGAGCTGCAGGGCGGCCTTGACCGCGAGCCCGTGAACGGTCCACGCCTGGACGGATTTTTGCGTCCCCTGGAGATATTGGCCCATGAGCAGGAGGAACTGCACTAAGGGAAGGTTAATTGGTGCGCTAAGGTTAAAAGAGGTGCGCCAACCCACCAACTTCCAATGTGGTCCCTCGTAGAATCTCGCCTCGGCACAGGTTCAACGCCTGTCGATAGTAGACGGTGGACTCTTCGATCCTTGTTTCCGCAGGCGCGTGGCCGGACACGGCGGTCACCTTTGCCATGGCCAGCATGATGTTCAGCAAGCCTAACCAGGTTCGGCGGACTTTCCTGACATTGTTCTTGAATTGGTGATACACCTCGAGGAAGCCCCGGGGGTGTATGTATGGGAACAGCAATCCCGTATGGTAGAAATACCGGCGAATCAGCTGTAATGTATCGGACGGCAAGGCTAGATTCGTCGCGAGCCCGGGATGCACAGTCGTAGGCGTGCGGCTTGATAACGGCGATGGGTGCCGGGTGGCGCTGACAAAGCCGCCATCGTAGGCAATTTGGTTTATCCGAGGTGAGTGAGTTTCTTTTTGGTTGCTTCCTGTGTATGACACCGCGCGGGATAGGTGCCGCAAGAACGCGATGTTTGATGACGGGCCTGTACCACTTTCCCATTAGTATAACGGCTAGACGGATCGGAGACGGATTGCTGCACCAAAATATCCGCAGTCCTCCTCATCTGCGAAGGTCACCGCGCCCATAGCGTCAATTGGGTCCTCGGTTCCAGCCAGGTCAGCAAGAGGCTCATGTCTAGGCTCCGGACCTTCGCCCACGGGGCTTCTGTTTGTGAGGTGCTCCGCCAGGCCAGACAGGTCCGATCGAATGTTGGTGAGGCTGACCTCAAGCGACTTCACCCGTGACTCCATATCTTGGAGGTAGCTAAGGACTGATAAGCACACGGAAGCAACAAGAACTGGATACGTCGTGACTCACTGTTTCTGGACGATCACGTTAGTGGCAGTGACTGGTGGCATGTAGATACATTCAAATTCCAAGTCTCTGCACATGCCACACTGGGGCCGGACGCCATCACACTAGGGACGCAGAGATCAGTGGGAGGTCTCATTTTTGCTGCGTGACGGTCAAAGGGTGCCTGTCTACCTTAGACTTTCGCGTGCGACATACTTCACAAGCCAAGGCTACGCGGCGACGTTTGCCCGATGGCCCTTGCAGGGTAGGCTTATTGGACGGCGGCTCCATACAGGAGGGCTGGTACTACTTGTGCCTTGCTGTTGCTGCTGCGCTAGTGGGGTTGGAAGTAATGGAGGGAAGAGTGAAGTCGGGGGGAAGTCGGGGGAGGCGCTGGGCAGGGAAAGTCTGGACCCAGTGTTTAGTGTCAACAAAAGAGGGTCGAAATGTTACTAGTGCGCCCGAGGAATATTCAGCACCCCCTCTGCCTGATGATCGTTAAGGCTCTCAACGACCTTACTAAGCTCATCCCCTATTTATTCTGCACTTTCTATAGTATATAAAAAACACACTCTCAAGTACTCAATTGGCTATGCCCGTACTAGTCCGTACTGTAACGACCACGTTCCGACAGTTATGAGCCCGGTTAGCCCGTGGTAAACAACAATATCGACCGATATCTACCACCCTGCAGCTACACATAGCCGAACGTCCCCGTCAACATACAGTCCGTTCAAACCGGACGCGAGATGTCACTTCCATATCAAGACCTCGAGGCCCTGGACACTGGATCCAGCTCCAGCGCCTCAGGAGGCGTCATTCTAGGCTCTTCCGACCAATGGAGGACCTGGTATAGCACCATCAAGGTCACCGCTAAGAGCCTTGGTGTGTGGAAGTATCTGGATCCAGATGCTTCTAATCCAGAGAAGATCCCTGAGGAGCCCCGAGAAACACAGCCTGGCGATGCCCAGGAGGGAGCTCAGGAAATAATAGACCTGACAGATGATAATTACAAGGTTTTTCAGCGCTTGCTCGCCCATCAAGATCGTCAAACCCTTCAGTTCAGGTGGACACAACGAAATTTAGACCGAATTGGCCAGCAAATCCGACGGACTGTTGCTACCAGTCACCAACACTTCATCGCCGATATCGAAAGCCCTCGAACACTCCTACAAGCCCTTAAGGACCGTTTCTCGCCTTCCGAAATAGAACGCATGCTGGAATTGCGGGTGAGGTGGCTCAACAAGGCAAGGTCGTCTCCAAAGGACTCGCAGGTGGATGCATGGCTCACGGAATGGGAAAGTCTATACACAGAAGCCGTCGGGGCTCAAGTCCCTGATACCACCAATCCCCGTGTGGCAGTATATGACTTCCTCTGTGCTGCCCGTCCGCTAGATGAGAATTTCTATTTCTATACTTACCAGACAGTCTTCAAGGAGACAAAGGAGGATAAGGATGTCTCATTCACCAGCGTGATTAACGACTTCCGCCAGCTCCGCGCGACGTCGCAGAAGAAAAGGAGTGGAAAGGGGTCCGCAGTGGGGTTCGCCACCTTGGACGGCCAGAAAGAAGCTGGATCAACACCAGCGCAGTCAGCCCGGCGGAAATCTTCCAAACAGCTCCCAGATTGTGTCTGTGGACAGAAACACTTCTTCCAGTCATGTCCATACCTAGTTGTATCCGCACGGCCATCTGGATGGAGACCGGATCCTGCTATCGAAAGAAAACTCCCAGAAACCATCGAAAAGCTTAGTCCGTTCGCCAAAGCAAAGGCGGAAAAGCTCTACAAAGAGGTGTATTCGAAGAACAGCGTGAACTTTGCCAACATGGATCCAGACGGAGACACCGGACTTGGTTTTTTCACGTACGGTGTTACTCAGCAGTCTGACCGTGCGAGTGAGAATACGCTCAACCAGAAGATTCCTCGGCCAGTCCCCTACGCTTTCTTCACGCATAACGCCGAGAATGCACTCAAAAGCGCCTGGCTAATCGACTCCGCAGCCAACCGTCATGTGACCAATAACCGCGAAGCTTTTATCTCATTCAAAGAGATCAGCGGAAACATCCAGGTTGGAGACACCGAGACAGGCGTTTTACGGAGTAGGAACAGTGAAAATCTGGGGCAAAAGCCCAGAAACGGACCGTAAAGTCCCACTGACGGTCGAAAACGTTCGTTATTCACCGGGATTTCATACCAGTCTTTTATCTGTGGGATTGATGAAGAAGAGAGGTGTAATTTGGGATACAAAGCAGGAGGCTATCGGGACCGTATCCGGAAGGATGGTCGCGAGGGTAAAGGAATGGGATGGGTTGTTCATGCTCGACCAGGCACAATTCTCATCGCCAGCAGCATTTAGCACCCATCCACGCCGTTCAGCCTTACCTCTCACATCCAAAGCCACTCCAAAACGCTGGCACGAGCGTCTGGCCCATATGTACGAGCAGAAGGTCGAAAAACTCGCTGAGATGGCGGACGGTATCGAACTCACTGCGGAAACGCGCACGGAAGAGGATCCCGAGCATTGCGAGACGTGCCAACTGACAAAAGCCACCCGTCAAGTCTCCCGACGAGCCCAAGCACCGGTATATGGGGCCCTCGGACGAGTACATTTCGATCTCATTCAGATCAAGGAAGGATTCAATGGTGATCGGTGGATCACTCACTTCTATCTGGATGCTATTCGCTACCATCATGTGGAGACGCACCCGCAGAAGAATGGTTGCCAGGATGCCGTGCGGAGATTCGTTGCTATCCTTCGCAACTGGTTCAACCTTCCAATCCGAGCTTTCCACTATGATAACGAACGGTCAGCAGGCCGTACCGTACAGCAGTACCTCGAAGACTGCGGATTCGTCATCATACACAGTCTGGTAGGCACACCCGAGATGAATAGCTACGCGGAGCGATCTGGGGGGGTGATCATCTTAGCTTCACGTTCACTGCTTCAAGATTCCCACCTTCCGCGGTCTCTCTGGCCCGAAGCTGTACACGCAGCGGTTTATATATTAAACAGATCGCCCACGAAGCTACCCGATGGACGCTGGATCATTCCGCAGCAGGAGTTCCACCGCCTAGGGACAGGCATCCAGATCCCTATCAACCTCTCTAATCTTCGTATCTATGGTTGCCGTACGTACGTACGCATCCAGGGCATTCCTCAGTCCGATAAAATGTGCCCACGAGCTGAAATTGGCTATCTCACTGGCTATAAAACCACGAATGTCTGGCGTGTGTGGTTCCCTAGGCTTCACATGGTAAAGCTTGTACGGGACGCTAAATTCGATGAGAATGTTAGCTTCAAACATCACGAACACGCCCAACAACCAGCTCCCGAGCTCGTTTCAGAAGCCACAGAAGTCGTACAAGAAGATGAACTAGACATCGAGCTCGAACAGGCTCTTCAACGACTCTCGGCCCAGTCGCAAGACCTTGCGACATCTCAAACCCAGGCTGCACCATCTCCGGTCGTAGACATCCAGCGGGCCGCAACCCCGCAGGAAAGCATCGAGAAGGAGCCGTATTCAGCTGAATCGGAGTTCTCACCAGCTCATTCAGAGCCACCCATTCCGGTGTCACTGCCCTCACCGCCAGCGAGGCAGCTCACACCATCTTCAACACAATCTCAGATACCATCTGAACACATACATCCGCTCCCAGCAACGCCAGAGCAGCCCATTCAAGCCTCGGCGCCGCCAGCGCCAACTCGAGCATTCTCTGATCCGCCACCATATCCGCAGACTACTATCGCCGGCAACTCTTCAGCAGGCACGCCCGTACCTCCAATCGGTTCTCAGCCACCACATCGGCGCCAAGAAGGGATATCAGAAGATAATGTTGTGGAGGGAAAACGGAAGCGAAAGCCACCTACAGACCCATACCTCGCTAGCTATTTTACGTATGACGAGGAAGACCAAGAAGGTGTTTTAGCTGCCTTTGCCACTGCAATTTCTGCACCAAGGCCTGATCAGCACCGAAAGCATCGCGATGATCTGCCACCGGAGCCCCAGAACTGGAAACAAGCTGTCAGCCACACATTCAGCGAAGGCTGGTTGGCTGCAGCAGGCCTCGAGATTGAATCCTTAGGAATACGAGGCACATACACCACTTCCCGAAGGCCCCAAGACCGCAGCGTTCAAGTACTGCCTCTCACCTGGGTCTTCACCTACAAATTTGACAGCAATGGCTTTCTTCAGAAGCTCAAGGCTCGCATCTGTGTCCGTGGAGATCTCCAAGCCATCAATTCAGAAGAGAAACGAGCCGCAACCCTCGCAGCTCGTACAGCGAGATCTATCTTCGCCCTGGTTGCCGCATTCGACCTAGAAACAATGCAGCTCGACGCTGTGAATGCATTCCTGAATAGTACTCTCGATGAAGAGGTCTATACTCAGATGCCCGAAGGATTCACGGATGGAGAAAGCTGCTGGAAGCTGAATAAGGCCCTTTATGGTTTGCGGAAGTCCCCGAGACTCTGGCAACAAGAAGCTACCCGAGTACTCGAGAAGCTTGGCTTCCAGGCCGTTCCAGAAGACCTCTGCCTTTTCACTCGCAGCGGCATCATCATATTCTTCTATGTAGACGACATCATCATCGTCTACCACCATTCGAAGTCTAACGAGGCTATCCAGCTCCGTACGCAGCTCCAGAAGCACTGGGAGCTTCGCGATATGGGAGAAGCCACCTGGTTTCTTGGGATTCGAATCCTGCGCGACCGGCAGCAACATAAGCTTTGGCTCTGTCAGGACTCCTACTTCTCATCAGTAGCTGCTCGCTACCACCTCTCAAGCGGTCGGAAATACCTCTCACCATTACCCGTGGAACGCCTCACATCATTCACTGGCCAAGCTACAGCAGCGCAGATCCACGAATTCCAACAGAAGGTCGGATCTGTCCTCTATGGGACCGTCATTACCCCTCCAGACGCCGCGAAATCTGCAAGTCACCTGGCAGAATTCCTCGTCAACCCGGGACCGCAGCACCTCGAAGCAGCCGACCGGCTCATCCGTTACCTCGACTCCACTCGTTACTTCGCCCTCGAGTACCATCCAATGCATGACCTCGAGCCTGCCCTCCAATTTGCTAGCGACGCATCATTCGGCGACCACAAGAACCGCAAGAGCTCGGAAGGATACCTCTGCAAGCTGTTCGGCGGGGCAGTCGACTGGAAAGCTGGAAAGCAAAAGACCGTGACGACTTCTACCACAGAAGCAGAGCTGCTAGCCCTATCCGAGGCAGCGAAATCAGCTCTTTGGTGGAGACGTCTACTCGCCGCGGTCAACCTCGAATACCAGGACTCAGAAGCGATGGAAATTCAGTGCGATAACGCCCAGACCTTCGGCCTTCTCACCAAGGAGACGCCTAAACTCAGTACTAAGCTTCGCCACGTTGATATTCACCATCACTGGCTTCGGCAGGCCGTCCAAGCCGGAGAAATCGTTATCCGCTGGGTTCCCACCAAAGATATGGCCGCGGACGGACTCACGAAGCTCTTACCTGCTCAGAATCACAGCAGATTCATGCACGCTCTCGGACTCACGAATATACAGCACCTTATCAAGTGAGGTGGAAGTGAGAAAAGAAGATCGCACTCAACGTCGCGTTCTCAGGCATACGGTGGCTGCTGGGGGGTGTGTCAACAAAAGAGGGTCGAAATGTTACTAGTGCGCCCGAGGAATATTCAGCACCCCCTCTGCCTGATGATCGTTAAGGCTCTCAACGACCTTACTAAGCTCATCCCCTATTTATTCTGCACTTTCTATAGTATATAAAAAACACACTCTCAAGTACTCAATTGGCTATGCCCGTACTAGTCCGTACTGTAACGACCACGTTCCGACATTTAGAACTCAGTCAGGACTACGCCTCGCCAAAACCAGCCCAGGCCCAACCCGTGGATAACGGTCAGCTAAACCATGGGCGAATTTTGTTTTGGAAAGCCAAAACCAAATTCGAATTCGCCAATTTCGCACGCTTATGCGGTAGAACTAAAGCTTCGCCACCGTTGTTTGCGTTTACAGCAGAGAGAATTAATTCGGCGCTCTGACGAACAAAGATCGCAGATTGAATCTTGACTTTGCACAGCCGTTACGGTCTATCAAGAATTATTCCGGGATCTCGATCTGGTTATTTTAATATTATTTTAATATTATTTTAATAAAGAATGGGATATATATTATTTTTCATGTAACTTCCAGTGTTCAAGCGAAAACTACGTCATTCCTCAACGTGCCAATCTCTGAGATAAACACATCCATTTGGGTTCCAGGGACCAAGTACTTTGGAGGATTCAAACCGGCACCGACCCCTTGAAATAAAGTAAGTGACAGTTTCTTAATTGGCTCCACTTGCATTTCGTGGACGGAGGGGTTCAGGGTGGATGGCTGCATGCACTTACCGCCAGGTGTACCAGTCATGATCACGCTACCCTTTTGAAGTGTAGTACCTTGAGACAAGAAGGAGACCAAATATTTGCAGTCGAATAATAAATCGGATAGACCTTCTTCTTGGCGCAATTCACCATCAACAAATGTCTTCAACTGTAGTAAACTCGGGTCTTTGATCTCGGAGGCCGCAACCAACACTGGGCCGAGAGGAGCGAAGGTGTCAAAGCCCTTAGAAAAGCCCCACTGGGGAACAACGCCAGCATAGGCAGGATCCCGTTGAAGTTTTCTCGAGGAGATGTCATTCCCAGCAGTATATGCAGCGACATAATCCAGGGCATCCTCCACTGGGACATCCTTAGCGTCCTTCCCGATCACCATGCACTAATATAAGGTTTGTCAGGTTAGAAAATCTTACAAATGCTAGCTAGAAATTTAGGACAAACCAATTCTCCTTCGTAGTCAGCCTGGTTGTTTTGCGCAACCTTGGGGATCACAACAGCTGCACCGTGATCCTGGACAGTGGTGTTGGGCTTAAAGAAAATGAATGGGAACGGGGGGCGCTTGCGTCCTGCTTCCTTGACTTAGATACAAGCTTTCATGTTAGCCTACTTTGACGGTGCTAAAGCAGTGCATGGATAATCAGAGTGTACGAACTGTGCTTGGCATAGTTTAAACCCACACAACGCAAAATAGGCACGTCGCTAGAGGCCAAGGGCGAGAGGATCTTCTTGACCAATACCATCTCCGTTGACAATTTGGTCTCGCCTGTTACGTCAAATATGTCGTCACCGACAAGGATTCTGGCCTGAAGGTGGTCAGCTTCTGTGACAAAACCGAGGTCGATTTGTTTGCTTTCGGGTATTACAGGCTCCCCCGGCAGGATACGGCCGTCGACTGCCTCGAACCGGATCAGGCGTATCCACGGAAGAGACATAGTAGAATGAAAATATAAAATAGTATGGGAAGCGTTAGCGAACCTTCGCCCCCATTAACATTGAAATAGGTAAACTATATAAGAGGAGGGGCTGTCGGAAGATTCGTTGGCAGATTCGGCGGACGGGGATAGATCGGGACCTATTCCGGAGTTACCGGTGAGAGCAAACATACGGAAACAGAGATGGTTCGCTAGGCAAACATAACCGGCTAATTGATCTAGCCAGATTCCACTTTGAGCATAGGCCGATTTCGCGCTGCGCGTAAGCTTCAAACGTTGTCTGTAATAATCGCGATCGGCCCTTCACCCAATATATAATCTGTATCACTTCCGAGGTTGCTGGATTTCACATAGGCCCAGGGTTGCAACAAAGTGGAGTGCCAGCTAAGATGGCATCGAAAAGCTCTGCTAAATTGTAGGAAGACTCCAACATAACAATAGCAATTTTCAAGTGGGAAAAAAGGGAAAAACATAATGTCATAATAAAACAGTTAATTCGAACATCCCAAAAACCATTATGACATCATTCTGGGTCGCGTTGTTTCCAAGCTCAGGATGTGCCCAACCAGCTCTATTTGTTCTTAACGAATTTGCGAATAAGAGGCTGGCTACCTTATAGGCTTAGTTATTGCGCAGAAGCCAAGATATTCAGATAAATCTATGAAGCTAGACAAGCACCAGAATACTGCTTGGTACAAATCCGTACTGTTCTTTTGTGGGAAGCTTCGAGTTAACCAAACTTTTGAAGAGATGGAAGTCCGGTATGGGGGCTTCCGAAGAAAGTACGGATCGTGTCGACTGTCTGCTGGCAAGGATGGGCTGCTAGTTAACACTGGACGTAGAGCAATAGAGTGTATGCCACGCAAGAAAGTATGAAATTACTGGCAGAAACGAGGATGGCGAGAATCTAATTCTACCTATCCTAAAAGTGGCTCTTCTCCCATGCCTCATCAATAGCTTTCTCGGTATCATATCCATAACACCACATCTGAGTTGCAGGGTCGCTCCACTGGTTGGGGCTGTGGCTAAAGGCGATTCCCAACACTTCGGGAGCCATTGCTGAATCTCTTGCCTCTTGCAAAGGGCCATCGGCAAAATGCCAGAGATGACTGTTAAGCAGACTAGCCTCCTGCATCTGACCGGCACGCTTTATCCTGACCTTTTCGAAAACAGAAAGAGCCTCCGCCAGCTGCTCTTTGTTTCCGATCTTGGACAAGGATCGGGAAAGTGCTAGTCCGTCTTCAACGGCCATAGCGGCACCTGCTCACACTTGTCAGTATTTCGGTATTAGGCAAGGGGCGATCTAAAAACCTGCCTTGCGACATATAGGGCAACATTGCGTGTGCAGCATCCCCAAGGATGACGAGTTTGTTTGACACCCATTTGTCGAGAGTCAAGCCGCTAGAGAGGGGCCACTTAAGTGTATTTTCTACCATATCAATAACTTTTGTGAGTCTGTTGAGGGGTGGTAAGCTTCATATTCTTTGGAAAACAAAGTAGAAAACAAATTAAAGCAACAGGATCAATACGTACACTGGATCCCACCCCTCGAATTCGGCCTTCATATCCTCAACGGCCTTGCTGGGGTCCCATGTGGATGGGTCAGTGGCATCTGGATGAGATAGAACCATGTTGAATGCTTTTCCAGCCTTTATAGTATACGTCATGACATGTCTCGAATCGCCAATCCTTAATATAAGTTAGTAGGTGATAGACGGGTGGATAGCATATGCATGTCCTCATGCCCGTACCAAATATTGAGACCCGGCTTCTCAAGAACCCATGAAACATCGGGATCCTTTCGCATCCGTTCCACATCTACCGTGGCGCGGTAGGCTGCAAAACCAGGCTTCTGGAAAGTCACATCTACTCCGCCGAGCACGACGGTGCGAGCAACGGACTTGATCCCTATAGTGATGCAGGTCAGGTAAAAATTTCAAGGCTGTGCGCAAGGGCGGCTAACCATCAGCGGCGATGACCAGATCTCCGGTGTGGGTTATCCCATCAGCAAGCGTGATGCTTCCGGCGACTGGATCATAACTTTCGACGTTGGCCCCCAATTTGATTTCAATTCCCATGTCCTGAACTTTCTGGTATAGCGCGGTATGAAAGTGGGCCCTGTGGATTACGTAGTATGGAGCACTGAAATTCTGCGTGAAATCAGGGACCAGCTTCGTGTTGCCGATGACTTCGCCGCTTTGCCATCTTCTGAATGAAATGGATTCGGGTTCGGCCACGTAAGGCGCCAGATATGACTTTAGGCCCAGCTTGAAGAGTATTCTAGTAGAGTTAGACGGGATTTGAATCCCAGCCCCCACCTCTCCAAGTACGGGGGTCCGCTCGTACACCGTGACTTTGTGGCCACTTTGTGTGAGCGCAATGGCTGTGGCAAGACCACCCAATCCAGCACCGACCAGGAGGATATTCAAAGGCACCTTGGCACTTTGCAGGTAGTCAGGGGAATCAGTTACCGAAGAGAAAAATGGCTTCGCAAATTCCAAGCAATTGCTGGGGTATGTAGGCATCTGCAAGGCAAGAATAAGCACGAACGGCTCCAGATCAATTGGCGTGCGGTGAGACTCACGCTGAGCGCCTTAGAAACCAAGGGGTTGTGTGAGACCTCTTTTAGGTTCATATTTGCTTTCAACTCTACTGTAATTTGGTTAACGAGGCGTCTCCATTCACGGTCCTGGTGTGATTAAGTATATAACTCGAAATAATCAGGCCTCCTTCCCTCTTTCCGGGGTTTCCCCGCCACGGGTGAGCTTTCCCGGTTTATCTCCGGCCTTTCCCACCTTCGAAAGATGCGGTCCAGTTGTGAAAGATATAAAGCCTATCACAGGCCTTGTATGGAAATTCTAGTATACAAAATATCTGGATTGATCAACTTCATTGAGTTCGTTGGCTCACTGTATTTGGCTCTGGAAACGGTAAAAGCTAGCTATTCGACCAGATAATTTATCATGGCTCAACCATCGGAAAAACAGTCTCCCAAAGGGGCTGATTCAACCGCGAGACTTCTCCAAGATCTTGAAAGTAGCAAAACCCTCCCGCTTTGGGCTCAGATGACTCGGCTTAACCCGCCTGCGCCCAATCCAACGGCCGTCCCATATGTCTGGGATTACGGAAGCATTCGCCCAAACTTGCTCAGGGCTGGCAAACTCGTTTCCGAGAAGGAGGCCGAAAGACGAGTGTTGATGTTGATCAATCCCACTAGAGGTATGTGAAATACCTTTATCCTCTAACAGGTCTGATCGTTGGAATCATCTTTCCTAGTGAGCTGATACCCATTGTACAGATGCTCCCTACACAACCGACACACTTTATGCTGGACTGCAGCTTGTTATGCCAAATGAGACTGCTCCAGCTCACAGGCACACTGCCTTTGCCATGCGCTACATCATTGAAGGCAACGGAGGGTTTACTGCCGTTCATGGAAAAAGAATCCAGATGCAAAAGGGAGACGTGATACTCACGCCGACCTGGAATTGGCACGATCACGGAAAGGATGGAAATGGACCTATGATCTGGCTGGATGGTCTCGATTTGCCTAATTTTAGACATTTCCCCGTCCACTTTGTCAACCACTTTGAGCAGCCCCGATATCCTGCCGAAAATGTTGATACTAATGCTTCGCCTATTGTGTTCCCTTGGACTCGCATGAAAAGCATGCTCGATCAGGATCGTGGTACCTGGACAACCCGGCGATATCTGAAGGAAGACGGAAGTGAAGGTACTTATTTCCCTCCCTTTCCTTGTTCATTATGTTGTTGAGGAGTTGTCCGATGGTGCTAATATGTCATTATATAAAGTAAGCCGTACACTTGGTGGCTGCGCAGAAAGATTAGATGCGTCCACATCGTCCCCTTCCCGCCGTGAGACTACATCCGCCGTATATCATGTCATCGCAGGAAGCGGCATTTCCAAGGTTGGCGATGAGACATTGAGATGGAAGTCCGGAGATACATTCTGCATTCCTTCATGGTACAAGTACCAGCACTTTGCCAACCAGGGCGAGTCGGTTTACTTATACCGCTTTGATGATAAGCCAATGATTACAGCTCTTGGATTCTATCGTACGGAGCAAATGGATGTGGAGAGCTTGGTGTCCGATTAAGCATGAAATATTCGGCTTTATAATTATGTTGGTTTCAATTATAGGTCAAAATGTTGTAGGGAAAATAGAAAACCTTCCTACGTTGAGCCACTATGGACTGAAAGCAACCCGCATGTGATGTCGCCCCTGTTGAGAAATCGTAGCACATCAAATAATTTATTCATAAACTGCAAAATAGCAAAGTACGACTTACTAAGAGCAGCGTAATTTATGCCCGTAGCTTGTCTCCCACATTCCATAAGCCGCATGTTCAGTCTCGCAAAAAATCAGCCTGCACGACCTTTCAGTTCTATTTCTAGTCGGAGGGCTCACTGATGTAACCATTGCGGGTGACATATTTCCGTGAACATCAGTTTTGCCTTCGACCTTAAGCTACAGTAGCCTTGGCCACGGGCGCACTGTGCGAACGTTTACACAATATCGACTTATAGATATGCACTCATTATTGTGTTTGATGACTGCCAACAGGAACTGGCGAACAGTACAATGAAGAACCGACGATTCGTATTTACTACTCAATCAAGTGAGAGCTGGCGATGTGTTAAAAAATGTGATACGTCAGTTTCCCAGGGCAATGATGATGATGATGATGATGATGATGTATTCATTTGCCCGATGTAGCTCGCTCTATATATATGCTGCTATGCGGGAGTGCTGTCAGGCCTGCCGACAGCTGGAAGGTGGTCGCCAGCCCACTGGGCGACCGTCAGGGAACTCGCCTTGCGAATTTCTGATCAATCGCCCTCGAATCGAAAGACGTAAACTAAACAAAAGAAATGCACGGATGCAAACATGATAAACACAAAGCCAAAATGAACGTCATTTACCCCTGGTCGCGGGTAGGACCAGGGTCCCGCTTCAACACACCATTCCCACGCCCTCT